ATGAATATTCACAAGAAATTACAACGATGGTCGTACTCGGTATGTAAACCGTATGGTTCGTATAAGACGTCCAACGACCTCAAGGATACGTAAAATGAGATCAACTCTAAAAAGGAGCACTTCATGGATGCTGTGGACATTTCGGCAGATTGTATTCGCGCTATGGTTGCGTTATTCTCAATCACAGCGCGATTCCAGTCTGCAATCGAAGCGCAAACCGCCGGCTTTTAATTGAGGAAACAATAGATCCACATGGGGGAGTGAAAAACTATTACAACTAATTCTTCCGAAGCATTCTTACACATTCACGCTAATGGCAGCCCAGACTGACCGCCAGCTATGCGTGTTTGTGGGTAGGTGGCCTCTACATGGCCTGCCAGCAAATAACTTCGTGCCATTTCCTAATATCATACAGGGTTGAATATTTTCCATATTAGTGAATTAAATAGGATATTATATACAACTCAGAACATCGTGGTCTACTGTAAAACTAGATATGCTTCAGTTAGGAAAAAGTTTTCTGGGACGTACTGAATTTTTAATTCGTTTGGTTCTTCTTTCTCTTTGTATTACCATGAAAATGTGAATGAATAGAGTACCAGAAGTAAATTCAAAACCAGATGGTAAGCGTTTATGCTGGAACAATCAAGGCTAAGACGCCTTTTTATGTCCACTGAAAAAAAATGATTAATTGCATTTTCATTACAGTTACACGTCTTAGACGACCATCGTTGTACGATACGATACGACCATCGTTGTAATTACTTTGTGATATTCATGTTTTTGTTTATTTGTTGAACAAAATTATGGGATGAGACGGCGGCGCCCAGAATCGCGCTCGTCCCACGCGACCAAACCAAGAACCCGTTTCGTCGTAAATGTTTTAAAAATGTCAAAGCACAGGAACGATAAAAAAAAACTGGATATCGCGAACTACACGAGTATTGTCTCTATGCAGCAAGGAAACATTTCGTGGCGAACGGCAACAGAAGCCACGATTCGCAAAAAAAAAACGATATCGACTTACGTAATGACGGAAGAAACATCCCAGTGTACTAAACTCCCATCTGCTGATGCACATACAAGGTGGTCACCACATTCCGGATGGAAAGAGACCTGTGAAACATTCAAATTTACAAAATTGTGACATGATCTTGATTCAGATACACCAACGAAACCTGTGTAACTGTCGTAGTGGCGACGTCAAACGAATTTGTGACCAGATCATGTGCAACGCCTCTCACATCGCAAAATCCAACGGTACCAAGATCGGTTCCGAAAGATAACTAAAAGTTGTCATATCAAAAACGATGACGCTCGCTCTTCCTTAACTTGACGCTCAGGGGAAGATTCCGAATTTGGCGATAAGCGACGACTTAGGTTAAGAAGGAATAGCAATGGAAATTATGTAGCGGAAAAACTCCGCCATCTAAGCTCCGAAAGGGGACTATAGGCGCGTCGGGTGAGGAGCATGTTTCGCGAGACACTATATCGCCTTGAAGAAACCCAACAAAGGCAAGGAGAGGAAACAATCCAGGGTGGATGAGAATGCGAAAAAGAAGCAGCAGCAGAAGCACTGAAATCGTGGATGCGAAGTAAATTATACCTCACCAAGCTTGCTTGAGCAGGATGGTTCGTGAGGGTTGTGACTGCATCAAGTCGTCGTTTTGATGGTACACATACTATACATGGTTTCGTTGGCTTTACTCTGCAGTCCCATATCAAAACGTGACCAGCAGAATGACCGGAAGCAAGAAGTGCACCGCCAGAAAGAGTGCAAACTGAGCGTACACCAGAATTTCCCTAAATAAAATGTATACGGGCATCTAATGGTAAATATATAATTGCATGATACTGCGATCAAGCCTTATTATCACCGAAATGCTCAATTAGTATATAGAACCCCAAAACATTTACTCCAAACAGACTCGAAACTTCATGGTTTTCCGAATTCCCTGCAACATTTCGGTGGTTGTTCAAACTGTTCGTTTTTCCAGAAGTTAAAGGCACAAATCGCGATAACGTATGTCAACAAGAAATGGAAGCAGGGATACCAAGTGACGAGCATGCAAAAAGTCTGTGGAAAAAAAAACGGTCAAAAGTCAGAAACGCTGGATTCGTTTTTAGCCAAATGATTTTAGGAATGGGGGGGGGACGGACATGAACTCCCCTTTATAATGAAATTTGCATTACATAAATAGCATTCTGAAATGATTTGCTTATAAAGATGCCAATTGTGGGTTTCCTTCATAAGAACGATCACGCTGGTGAGACACACACGGATGTTTGTGGCATGGGACAATGGCACCTAATAGTGGGTGCCACCTTGAAATTTTCTTCTTTGTACATAACATTTGTAACACCCCAACAAATATAAGCAAGTTCTATAATACCTATGGCTAGCACGAATTACAGAATTGCTTACTAAGAGCTAATTTAAATAGAATTTCAGAATATGCCATTTCACTCACCACCATATTAAGTGGGGTTTCAAATATTAGGCCAAAGATTCTTCGTCTAATTTAAAGGATGAATTCGCGATAAAAAAGCAACCCATTTCAAATGAAATTTGAAATGGTGAGTGGTACACGAAATAAGGAAGAACCATAAGAAACGGTCCAGAACCCGAAAAATGGTACCCCTTCCTTGCCCGTTGATTCGAGCATTGATGCGACTCTCTTCGCTGTGCCCTCTTCAAAACTATGCTCTCTCAGCTATCTAATCACTCGCCACGAATTGAACTACGGCGAGTGATCAGATGATCGCCGGATCCGCCAGCTTTGAGGCATGATAGGTCGCCGAAGTCAAATTTTTCCATGCGAATTGCGCGTCTGGTCGCACCCTCCGGCGGTCCGTGGGTCCTTCAACTAGGTCAGTTTCCCTTTCTTCGACCTTCATTCTAATGGTGAATTCCTCCTTTAACTAATCAGGACTTCTTCTTCTCATAGCCCTCAGACACAGGAAGGGGTTTGAACCGTACCGGAAATTCTCTTGGACACTTAAACTTTCAGTGGTTTTGCCCTCCTTCCCTTTGAAACGCGAGTCCCCCGTCCAGATTTGGAATTCTCTTGAAAATGATCTACAGTATGAAAGCCTAGAACTGCAGTTACACCTGGTATGCTGTTAGAGTCTGAAATTCTGCAGAGAAATTGCTCTAAAGGACAATTCCGACTAATTTTGAGCGAGAGTTGGGCGCGTCAAAAACAGGCGTGGTCCCATGAGCAAGCTACGTGCAACATTTTCGTCAAACCTTCAAGGAACTGTACAAAAAATCCGAAAAGCAGCAAATACCTTTGAGATAACGGTGATATTCCCGGTCTCAATGTCCACCTTAGCAAGAGACCCATTGGACGATCCACTAAAACAATATTACTATACAAATCAGTTAACACATTGGCGACCAAGCATTTTTTGGGTGTTCCCGAAAATTGCATTCTAATGCTGAAACGCTTTCATACGTTGTACATACAGAATCGATGAGAACACAATGCGGAAACTGCTGAAACATCATTTGTCTCGTACAAAAATCTCCCCGTCCCGCAGAGGTGAAACTTCCGAACGCTTCCGGAAAATTCCAATTTCCCACTGTAGTATCCATAAATGAGATTGAACACAAATTTCTTTTCTGCCAATGGTTGTATCATTGACCTAGCTAATAGCATACACAAAGGCAGCTTTCTACATCAAGAAAGAACAGCCTTATTACTGGAGAAGCAATTCAAAGCATCCGTTCTGTAAAACTTTCACTGTGAAAGATGTTCAAAGGATGTGGCCATTACAAGTTTGACAATGTATTTCGGGTTAAAACAGCACCGCTAAAAATTTGGAATATGCGCAAAGGAATAAAATTCAAGGGGTGTCGCCCGGCACCGGGCGACATTGTCGCCAATGTGTTAATTAATGAAATAGACAACAGTACGAACGTGAAAATCCTCACCTAATAATATCATTGCTGTCAAATTCACAAAGAACTCGAGAATTTCCTCTGCCATGGACGTTAGAAAACTCGCTGACCTTATCAAAAACAGTTCAAAAAGAATCGATTCACCTGTGTCATTTTGAATGTACATAGTGGAAAAGATAGATAACCTTACCTTTTTTAGTTGGTCATCTTTATTGTTGAGAACTAATATACGCCCATCAGAGAGTGACGCACAGGTAACCTCAGAAGAAAGCGAACTACAATCATTAAAGGCTAAGGTTATGACTGACAAAGAACTACGCAGCAGAAAGGAACTAGGATAAACGAGAAAATGTAGTGCGATACTGACCATATATCGGAGGGATCCACATCGAGATCCAATCTGAAAAGTTCGTCGAATGGCTCCACGACTTCGGAAACCTCATCGCTTCTCTTCCACAGAGTTACGCAACGTCCCTCAGAGTATCCGAGCCAGATAATACGATCACTGTGGGGAAGGTAGGCAACCTTAAAAAGATGCGTTTGAGACATCAACAAGCTAATCAACACCAGAGACTTCAAACACTACTCACCTTTCTTAATTTGGCAAAAGTTTGCTGGGAAAAGTCTTTCCGGATCCGCGGTAGCTCCACTCGATCCGCAAGCGTTGCAAAGGTGAAAGAGTCTAGCATGCTTCCATCTTTGGATCGTCTACTTACTGCAGCCATCTGGTAAAGAAAGTAATAAAGCCCCGTTTCTAGATTAAAACAATACATCCATCCCAGTCCTCTCTATCGAAGGATCCGTGCTGTTCAACCAAGTGCAAGGGAGAGGGGTGCTTGAGCAAGCACAGAATCTTTTATTAAGCATACTAGTTTGTATGCGAGATACTCTATTGTTCTTTTGCACGTGCTAAACTTAAGCCTAAAAACAATTCAAAGCGAGGCTTTGTGCTTAATGCAGGCCCTCAAAAAGCTCTTCTTCCACAAGGAACTTTGCTCAACCACCCGAGAGTTACTTCCCTTTCGCATCCTTGGCTCAAGCTCACACCACCCGTTACCAACTGCCGTACATAAAATATCGAAGATATGGCGGTATGAACTTTGTAGCACATCCCAGCTTCATAGATGAATTTCGGTGATCCGCACGAACTACTGCACAAAATGTCCCCCTCCCCAGTCCTTGTTAGAAGAACGCCCAGCCCTATTTCATTCATATCTGTAGGGAATAAATACCTACGCAATAAACACAATTAGTAATATAAGTTCGTACAAAATTGAGACTGCCGCGTATTACAAAACGCGCCCGCTGGAAGCAATTGAGCGGCAGCGTCGCGGCTTCCGCATTCGAGCAAGTTATCCCAGCTTGCGCGCGTTAGTTGGCACAAATCTTTACTTCAATTTGGGTTCTAGGCGTTCGTGTATTTAATGGGGAACAATCAAAACTGGGCATCAAAAAACCGGGGTGTGGTTAACTAGGACAGAAAGCGGCTTTTTCGCGTTTCGCTGCGCGAAACATTTTCCGCTGCGGGAGCCTCAGGTCCATCGCTGATCGTCAGTGCCCCCGAGGTTCCCCCAGCGAATTATAAGTGGACCTGAGATTCTCGCAACGAACAATGTCTCGCGCTGCGAAGCGCGGAAAATTCGCTTTCTGCCCTAGTGAACCATACCCCAAAAACCGCTGGTAGGTGACACTGGGACTAAGCCCAGGATTGGGGATAAACACAACGGAGAACAATTCTTGTTTACATGCTCTCTCACAATCCTTTCTCATCGCTAAAGCTCAGTCCCGAGTTCTATGAGTATGTAACTCCAATGTCCGCCTAAGGACATGAGCTCCGGTTTCTACTTATAACAACTTTTTCTTGCTTTTGTTTACCTTTCCGTCCAGAAGTATTATTTGTGCACCACATCTTAGCGGGTCACATTTCAGCTAGCGCTTGCTTTGGGCAGAGCCGGGCATGCCGCATTAAGGCCACGTCGTGCTTTGCGATTCGATTAGCGATATCAGATTAAAGGTTGTACAGGCCTTTACCTGAAGGGTGTGTAGCGGTAGGTATAACTATGTATAAAGATGATTGCCTAATACACTTTATTCAACACATTGTATTAAGGGGTGAGAGACTGAGGGATGGGGAGAGAGTCCAAAGACTGGACTCTCGAGGAGGACGAGGCTGGAGAGACTCCCGTTCTCGGCTGGCAGCTGCTTAAGTAGTGCCGTTGCGTCATCTTGGCTCGCTACGCCACGTCTCATAGCTGTCCCCGCCTGACGGCGTGGACATGACATCTCCATTCGTATAGGAAGCTCGACCTCGAGCTTGAACGTCGTTGCCCATCACTTCGCACATCCTTGCTGGTGTTTCCACATTAGCAATTTCAATGGAATAATTGCGAAGTAATGATGGTGAGGATGAAATGATGCGAAGGCGAAAATGGCACTGTGAAAGGCTTAGTCGGAACTACGACTTCACATACTTTCGGCACGAAATCATGATGTAATAGTTGGTGCCAGCTGAGAACACATAGAATGAGGAAAGAAATGAATATCGACCGGATGATTTGGAAACTACGGTCTACTCACTCTTTCGGAAAATTAGCTCGTCCTCGAGCGTGAGACATATCATGTCGACAAGAAATCGAAATAAACGATCCTCGTAATGGGGGTGAAGAGGGCAATAATATGTGTGACAAGCATTAATGACATTGAGTGTGCGAGCTATCCTATGGTTAGAGGTAAACATTGTCATACTGGTATTATTATCATTATGTTGAAATGGAGTATATTCTGAAAAAGTTCACATGGAGATTGTTTAAACCTATGAGTTATACAACCAATTACATTGGAACAAAAGTGAGCGTGGATAGGCTTTTTCCATTGAATATGCAATAATTGTAGTAAAATCGCGCTGCAAACAGTATTTATGGTAAAATGATACATTTCTTATAAAAAATGATACGAATTCTAGTCTGATGCACGGCACTCTGTTTTTGCGACTAGTATACGAGGACAATTGTAAAGTGTGATTCGAATACTAGTCTAGTTTTGAATTCACTGTAAGCGACTAGTATAAGGGCGTGGTTTGTTTTGAATTATGTGTTTTTATTTGACACAAGACGCTGCCTAGGATTCTTCGAACCGCCAATTCGATGAATTTACATGCATATTCGCGCAGTGCGGCTAAATGAGGGGAACCAAACTGACCTTGAGGACTACTCGTTCAAATAAACAGTAGCACTCCTTCCAATTAGTCGTATTGCTCCGCTGAAATTGAATGTTTAACCTGAAGACGACGAGAGCGTCGTATTATTGGTTGTTCTTTATCGGCTGATGTTTCCTCTGTCGTTGGCACAAGTCTTTGTTGTTGCTGACTTGAGGTGGAAGCATTATCCGATAGAGAACGAGGACAATACAATTTTAGACGGTTAATATGCACTATTTGTCGCGTGGAGCGACCTACAAGATTAGTAATTGTGATGTTAGGACGATCAATTTTTCAACTACGAAAGGGCCTTTCCATTGATTTGTAAGTTTGAGACGAACAGTGTCGTCATGTAAGAGTACAAGATCCTCAATGGAAATGTCCTTAGGGTATACCTTGTGGTATAGCTCATACCCTATCTAGTAGAGTGCCGTTTTCTTAGCTATTTCGTTTCCCACTGCCATGATTGTGTCTTTCAGCCCAACTGCTAATTGGTCTGCGAAATTGGTCCGATGCGAAAACGACTCGAGACGGAAGCTCGTGTAGAACATCACTCCACGTGATCGGACATCGGCCGTAAACTACGAAGAATGGACTATAACCTGTAGCAGTGTTTGTGCTACAGTTATAGGCAAAAACGATGGGTTGCAAAAAATCAGACCAAAGATCACTCGCTTCAGAACAATATGCTGTTAACGAGTCTGTGATAACTTTGACTAGTCTTTCGGCTTGCCCGTTCGCTTTGTGATTGTAGCTCGTTGTGAAGCTATTGGTTATGCCTAGCATTTTGTTGATTTTTGAGAAAATTTCGCTGGTGTAGTTGGAACCGCGGTCTGAAACGATTTCCCGAGGAATCCCATGTTTCGAAATAACATCGTTGATCAGTATTTTGATTACCGACTCTGATGTTGATCTACTAATGGACTGCAAATCACAAATTTACTGAAAGCACATACCGTTATCGAAATAAACTTGCTTCCATCTATACATTGTGGTAGTGTGCCGATGATGTCAGTGTGTACGCGTTCGAATGGTCTTTGTTTTACTGGGAAAGTGCCCATTTGTTCACGAATTATGTGATGTGACGGCGTTTTTACTTTTACTTTTTACTTTTTGACATATTGGACAGGTGTTGATGTAGGTCGAAACATCCTGATATAAATTTTGCCAAAAGTATTTCTCCTTAATGGTTTTGTATGTTTTGTTTATACCAAAATGAGATCCAAGGAGTGGATTGTCATGAAATATGGCAATAATTTTAGCTTGCATTGTTGGATCCGGAATGAGCAATTTTGCCTTATTGTGTATGGTATAGTATAAGGAGTTGTTATGAACTGAAAACTTATGTAAAGTGTTCTCAAATTCTTGGGGGGGCTCCTCAAGTTCTTTTGCTAGAAACTTCAAAAGTGGGCCGTATTTTGAGTTTCGCTGGCTTTCTTGAATTTCTTCAAGAGAAGGAAAAGACTGCGCTATAATAGAATTTAGGCCAGGCGATGGAAAACGGCTCAAAAAAATCACACAATGTATTGTGTTTGCCTGCGCGATACTCAATTTTGATGTTGTATGCCTGAATAGCGATTTGGTATTTAGCTAAACGGCCGACCAGATCTGCGCGGTGCATTAATGATTTGAGAGGAGCGTGATTCGTTACCAGCAGGATTCGCGCATTCACTACATATGGGTAAAAGTGCTTCAATGCGAAAACAGTGGCGAGTGCCTCCAACTCAATAACTGCGTAGTTCTTCTCATGCTTATTCAGAGAGGGCTGCGGTATGCGACAGGATATTCTGCTTGCGTCGTTTGGTTGGTTTGCAATAAACATGCGCCTACGCCAATTGTGGATGCATCGGTATGTATTATGTATGGTTGTCCAAAAGTGGGGGATACTAAAAGAGGGGCTTCAATCAAAGCCTGGGGCAAGGAATGCTTGCTCCTGCGCGTCGGTCCATTTGAATGGGGTGGTTTTGATTAATAAGTTGTGGAGCGGAGTAGCGATGATGGAAAAACGCGGTATATAGCGACGAAAGTAGGATGCGGCTCCTAAAAATGATTTAACGCCTTTTACGTCGTTTTGGCGCGTTATATTAGCGATGCTCTCTACCTTATTAGGGTTAGGACAAGTTTGGTAAAGTGAATCTAAGACTTCGTTTGACTGTATAAGTGGGGGTGCGGCGTATACCGTGAGTTCCTTCGAGACTGGTAAGTGATTCGGATTCAGAGTTGCTCATAAGTTGTTAAACTAGAATTTGAATGCGAGGTTTGGGTCGTCGTTGGTATTTATAGATTGTTTTCAAAACAAAAAATGTGAAAAATAGTATTAATATTGTTAATGAATTTGAAAGATATATTGGGTGGTTAGATTTGTAGAGAAGAGAAGAACTGGTTAGGGAAAAAGTGGGTTAGTATCGACTGTAAATACTCACTGAAGTGGACGATGTTGGTGAAAAGTGTTCGCTTGTCGGGGCAGGCAGACGAGCGGACCAGTTCGCAGGGTCCGGTGATGAAGAATAAGGTTTCTAGACGGGGGAA